TCATCGGGATGCAAGAATATGTTGAAATCACCGCTAATCATCCACGGTAATCCCTCCATACTCTCAGCAATCTCACGCATGGTGTCCCAGAGGACATAGCGACCAACCCTCACACAGCTGGCGTAAACCAAAATGTGGAAGATCGGCTCCGGAAGATGGGCGGCGATGAGTTAAACAGAATGACAAAGAAGAGTTACAAATAGAATGACAAAAAAGTCGCATATAAACAGAGGAAAACAGAATGACAAAGAAGAGTTACAAATAGCACCCAAATAACAAAATATTTACACTATGAGACCATTTCGTATAAAAAATTAAAAATGAAGGACCAAAATGAAAAAAAAAAAAAAAGAAAAAAAAAAAGAGGAAAACAGAGAAAGGTAAACGCACAAAAACCGGCCCCGCGTTTTCCCCAACTACTGTTTTATTCAAAATCGCCACGTCACCCAAAACAACTCCGTCTGACTTTCAAGCCACAACCGTTGACTTTTTCTCCACCCATCCACGCGCCGGTCCAATTCCCCAATCACAATCCCAACTAATTAAAGTCATCGGACGCCCACGAACCGGACCGCCTCCCCGATGCGAACCGGTTCATTCCTCCCAAACCGGGCGCCTCAACCGCCGCGACCTCCCCCACTTGCACGCTAAGGCTCCTGCTCCTCCGCATCTGGTCGAGACCCGCCGGTTCCTCCTCCACCACGACGGCCATCGGCTTCCTGCTTCCCGACCGGGACGATTTCCTCTCCGCTCTCTTGGACCGGAACATACCCATCACCCTCGAGTAGAACCCGGCCTTCAGCCTCGCGCCGCCTGTTCCGGGCTTGTCCGCCGGCTTCTCGCCTCTCTTGCGCGAGTTCGATCTCCGGCGGCACCGCTTGGACCTGACCCGGCCCATACAGGAGACCTTGGGAGAGCTCGGCTCGATCGGGGTGGATGACTTCCCGGCCGAACCGGAACGCTTGGGAAAGAGGCGTATGGCCGGCGGGCGGCAGATCCTCCGCTTGGTGGCCCCAAAGGTGGCCTTCTGAGACTTGGGCAGGCCGATTATGGAGGCTTTGGATTTGAGGTTGGCGGAGAACCGCTGGGAGCTGGAGTTGGAGCTCAGATGCGGGTGCGGGTTCGGGTTCAAGTTGCCGGAGTTGGTGTAGCCTCTGGTTGAGTCCTTGCGCTCGTAGAACGCGTTCCGGTCGAACCACTCGTATTCGGCATCCTTTGATAGCAGGAAGGATTCCGGCGGGAAATCAGGCGGAGCCTCGCCGCCGGCGGGATTGTCGGCCAGTGTCTCGCAGGCTATTTTCCGGTCGCCGGCGTAGGCTGTGACGAGGGTTTCGAGGTCGACTGGGGGCATTTGGGGTGAAAGACGAGGAGAGGCTCAAAATTTTTTGTTTTAATTTTCTTTCTTTTTATCTTTTTGGGAAAAGAAAAATGAAAGAGATTTTACTTTTGGGAGAGAGAGAGAGAGAGAGAGTGTGAGTGATGATGGATTGGTAGGAAAGGATGAAATATATAAGAGAAGAATAATAAAATTGTAGACAAAATCGAAATAACTAACAAAAAAAAAATGAAATATATATTGAAAATATTGATAGAATAATTAAAATGGTAATTTGACTTTGTAATTATATAACTTGATTTATTATTGAAGGAAATATTGGGTTAATAGAACAACTTTCTATATGGATAAGTAGTATCAATTTAAAAATTATTTTGTAATAATTATCACAATAAAAATTTAATTCATCGTCGTATTAATTAAGAGTCACTGAAATTTTTTATTCTTTTGGTAACCAACTGTACAATATGTATTCAAAAGGATGTATTATATAGGTTTTGTTTTTTCGAAAATATTATTTGAATATGCACGATAATATTGCAAATATAATTATAAAAACCAGTTATGGAAATTTTAGTATGATATTTATCACAATGTTACAATAGAATCTTGTTTATCAACATAAATAACAAATCACCGTTATTTCTTATTCATATGGTAATCAATCATATACCAAAATATTTTTGTATCGTATCTTAAAAACACATTTAATCAAGAAGATTATCTTAAATTTTTTTGATTTATCATTAACTCAACCAATTCAGTTTTTTAGATGTTGTAAACACAATTTTCCACAATATGAAAAGAAATTTAACTATTTATCTTTTATAATAAACCAATATTATCCTTAGTAACAAATCATGTGTTCTTCTGTTTTGTTGGACATCCAACCATATATAGGCCTAAATATGCATGAGAACAGTGCAAAATATAAGTACAAAATGAATTTAGAAATTAATTGCAAGAATCTTAATGTTATAACTACCACAATATAATAAAAAAAGTTTAAAGTTAAATTAATAATAATTTTAACATAACACTCATCTCTTATACGGCTTACCATCTTATAATACAATATCTTTCTTAAATTATATCATATAACAAATTTAAATTTAAATTAATTTAAAAAAAATATTTTGTAATTAATATTAATATATAAATTAATTTTTATTGCAAACATAAATAATATTATTTATTTAGTTTGTATGTAAAATAAAGGTGTCAAATTGAAACTCATCAAGACACGAGTAATTTGATACATTATGTATATAACATTGATAATAAATAAATAAAGCTATTAACTTTTTAATCTACTCATAATTTAAGTTTGCTATTTTTCATAATTTTAAGAAAAAAAAAAGATGAGGAAAAAAGAAATACTGAGAAAAAAACTTTATGCCTCATATATCACGTCTAGAATAGAAAATGTAACATAATTAATACTAATAAAAGAACCATAAATATTGAGTATATTTACAGTTATTCCAAACCTAATTATTTTTCACTAGAAGTCATTAAAACCCATCCAATCTAAACGAAAATACATGAAAATTTGCAATATCTCGAAACATGTAAGTCTGTCATTTAGATAATTATAAATAAGTGCTATTATGAACTTGATTATTACATATAAAAAATATAACTTAAATTTTATTTTAAATAAGTATGCATAGTTATCCATATATTTTATAGCTTCAAATCCAACCTTTCAAGAACTTGATAAACTTAAGAAACCACCTTAGTCGTAGGATGGTTCAACTTCACTCATCTAATTGAGAAAGATGACAGGTTGGAATTTTCAAGTGTCAAAAAGAAGACAAAAAAGGCGAAAAATAATGTTCACACTGCACCTAATACTTGTCATATTATAGAAGAATTCAGAATGTCGCAACTCACAAATCCAATTCCAAGTGCCTAACTCTACTTTCTTTGTGTGTTCTTAAAGAGACATATCAGTTGACTTATTGGGCGATGAATATATTTATTTTATCTTAAATTTATATCTAAAAAAATAAATATGCATAGAATTTATTAAAAAGTTAAATTAAAACGATGAATACTTAAATGTTGATATTAAAAATAATTGTATTTTCTTTTATGGAGTTCTGTTTTGGTGTTGCGGTTGCCTCTTTTATGGAGTTGTACCTCTTGAATTTTTCTGGAACTACAAGTACTTAGTGTCAGTTGACATCTCTGTTGTACTCTTTTTGAGTTTTCTATATATTTAGTGTGTCATTTGAAAAAAAAATGTCTTTATTGAACTCAATATTGAACAAAATACTGAAAAACTTTATTGAAGATCGAGATGAGCGAGAAGAAACTATGAGACGGCGATTACAGAGAGAGAGAAAGTTTTCAGATGAAAAATAAAAGAATAAACTGAATGAATAAAACCTAACCCTAATTATCCTATTTATACTAAAGCAAATACAACTAAAAGCGTATGTCACAAAAACGTGTTTTACAAACCAAAACACTAAGATTACAAACCAAACACTAAATGCTTATTCTATTACCTCCCTCCCCGCAAGTGGGGCATGGATGTTCTTCATGCCCGTCTTGGAAATGTTATGGGTGAAGGCAAGCTTGGGCAGTGGTTTGGTAAGTATATCAGCAGCCTGGTCTGTTGAGGAAAGATGGTGCAAAGAGATGATGCCTTTTGATATCTTTTCCCGGATGAGGTGGCAATCAATCTCTATGTGTAATTGGTCCTCTCGTGGAAAACATGATTGTGAGCAATGCTAAGGGCTGATTTGCTATCTGAAAAAACTGAAACAGGTAATGTGTGAGGGCAATGTAAATCATCAAGCAAATACAAGATCCATTGAGTTTCACAAGCAGTAGAGGCCAATGCCCTATACTCTGCCTCAGTAGAGGATCTACTGATTGTGTATTGTTTCTTGGATTTCCAAGATACAAAGAATTACCCAAAAAGACACAATAACCTGTTATGCTCTTTTTAGTATCAATGCAACCGGTCCAATCACTATCACTGAAAGTCGTGAGTTGAAGTTTAGAAGCTCTAGGAAAGAATATACATGTGCCCACTGTGGCTTTGATGTACCTTAAGACCCTGTGTGCTGCTGCAAGATGATCCTGGTTTGGCTGGGAGATGAATTGATTGAGGCATTGTATACTATAAGAAAGATCAGGTCTTGTTATAGTTAAGTAAAGCAATCTGCCCACTAGCCTTCTGTACATAGTGGCATCAACAGGACCTGAGTTAGACTGACAAGAGAGTTTAAGAGTGCTTTCCAATGGTGTAGCTGAGGGTTTGCACCCTAAGTACCCAGTATCTGTTAGTATGTCTAAGGCATACTTTCTTTGGCAAACATTTATGCCCTTGTCAGAATGTGCTATCTCAAGACCCAAAATATATTTTAACTTACCACGATCTTTTATAGTAAAACAATTGTCCAGATGAGCCTTTATTTTGTTAATCTCATCTAAGTTGTCACCAGCTAAGATGACATCATCCACATAAACAAGAAGAGCAATAAAAAAGGAACCAGTGGACAATGTGAACAGAGATGTATCAGCAGTAGATTGGTGAAAACCATATTCAAACAGACAAGATGTCAATTTATGAAACCATTGTCTAGAGGCTTGTTTAAGGCCATATAGACTTTTCAAGAGTTTGCAAACTTTGTTTTTAGCATTATAACCAAGGGGAGGTGTTATATACACCTCTTTATCCAAATCCGCATGCAGAAATGCATTATTACCATCTAATTGATGCAAATGCCAATGTTTAGTAGATCCAAGTGCAATGAGAAGTCTGACAGTGGTGATTTTTGCAACAGGGTTGAAAGTATCAAAATAATTAAACCCTCTTCTTGTGTATAGCCTTTGGCAACTAATCGAGCTTTATATCTCTCAATTGTTCTATCAGACTTACACTTAACTTTAAGAACCCATTTACAGCCTATAGTGTGTTTATCTTTTGGTAAATCAATAAGAAGCCAAGTATTGGTCTTTTCTAAGGCTGTTAATTCTTTATTCATGGCCTCTTGCCATAAAGGATCTTTAGAAGTTTGTTTGTACGTTTTTGGTTCAACAATTTGAGAAATTGAAGTAGTAAAGCACATGTGTGAACCAGATAACTGATCAGTAGATAAAAAATTTTGAATGGGATGAGGTGTCACAGGCAGTAACAAATGTGTTTCTGTTTGGACAGAAGAAGAAAATGGCAAAGAATGTTGATAATTGTCTAAGTATGAAGGTAAATGTCTCTGTCTTGTTGATCTTCTAACAAGAGGTGATTTAGTGGATGTAGGTTGAAAAGAAACAGGAGGGTTGTTTGTTGTAATAACAAGCAATTGAGATGGGGAAGAGGTGAGTGGTGATGGGTTGGAAAAAGTGTGTAATTTATATATTTATGAGTGTATTTTTATATGCTTAATTTTGCCACACTTATATATTTTCTGACTTATTTATTTATTAGATGGATTCAAGTGCTATGATATATTTATGGTTTATTTTCAGGATATTTGTTCAAATAATTCCTAGGCCCAAAGTCGTGGGAACTGCAGTAGATGGAATTAATTAAGGGTTGGCCCACTGAACCAATTTAAATGGGACAAGAAGATTTGATGAGCAAAATAATTAATTAGCCCAATGCTACTTGGAAAGAAGACTCCACGCATGCAACCCTCAAGCAAAAGAAAAGGAATTGATTTATTTGCTGGAAGAAATTGTTTAAGCCATTATTCACGCCGCCAGAACGAGGCATACGGATAACAGAGAAAGAAAAGCAGATCAACATCACGCGGGCAGAACAAAGGACGAACATAAGAAAAATACGCGAGGAGCCCGATAGAACGCGGAGGGAGGCCGCACCCGCACACGAAAGAGGATAATTCTATTTACTTTCTTTTCTTTTTATTTTTATTTATTATGTTAGAGTAGTTTTATTTCTAGTTCCGGGGAAGTTGAACCCTACGTACTTGATGATGTTTGATTGATTTATGCGGTTGATTATTGAGTTATCTTTTTGGAATTGTTTGTGTTATTTT